AAAAGACTCATGGCTGTATTAGCTCAAAAGGGTGCTTCTACTAAATATTGAGCAAAGGGTCTGAATACTTATGACCCTGTGATATTTCAGTTTTTCTTTTTTAATAAATCTGCAAAAATGTCAAACATTCGGTGTTTTTCTGTCAATATGGGGTGCTGTGTGTACATTAATGAGGAAAAAATGAACTTAAATGATTTTAGCATATGGCTGCAATATAACAAAGAGTGAAAAATTTAAGGGAGTCTGAATACTTTCCGTACCCACTGTATGTCAGGATATGCGGGATTAAATGACTACTTAGGATAACATTAAGCGAGTCATTGGGGTCATGTCTGCTGTGTTCTGGAAAGAAAAAGTAAGCAGATTTTGTTAAAAGAAAAACTGCACAAAGCTTCAAATACCGCATAAGGAAAATGTACTGGAACCACAGCACTAACCAAACACAAAACACCTTCGTAAATCAACAGGTAGAAGGAGGTGGACTCTTTCAAAACAAAGACTAAGTTCTGCTGAAAGCTCACAGTGGTCGCTAAACGCAAATGAATAATATAGATAAAATATAACAAAAAAGTTTGTTTGTTTTTAGAAATGGGCAAAAATAAATCTGAAACGTTTCATTCAGTCTTAACATTGATGGCTACATTGTCTTAATGTTTAATAGTTACAACTGAACCTGTTTATCTTAAACCGTTTTTTAGTCGATATTAAAATGTATTACACGTCTTGTGCAGTAAATGTTAAGTGCAAGCAAAAAAAAATGCTTGTCAACTTTATCCGGACTGTAAACATATTCAGATTTCACGATACGTTAGCAAACAAGTTAACGCGACGTAACCTTACATAAGTAATTAATAGCTTTCTTCTGTGAATTACGTTCAGTTTTACTCACTTGATCTGGAGATGCGGGTCGTTTTATCCCGTGTCTGTCCTCTGGAGAACTCATCACTAACGAACGCTTTAGTATAAAGTCAATAAATTATCATGCTAACTAGCACATGCTACCCTCTGTTGTCAACAATCCCTCGTTACGTCACTTCCAGTTCCGTCTTCTTCTTCACTTGTATTGCAGTAGCTTACATTAACCCTCTGCTGCCGCTCATTGGTTAATTGCGTTAAAGCCCCCTTAAATCAAACCCGAGAGAAACTAATTTGAAAATCACTTAGGAACGTTGCCACCAACAAAATTTTAAGTGATGGCCATGGATCTATTATTGAAGATGAAATCTACATTTTCATCAAGATCCCAAATATCCCGGGCAAAATTTGAGTAACCTATTTTGTGCAACAACAGCGGACAACGTCCAGAAGTCTTCATACTTTTCGAGAAGCATGGAGAGGAAACAACATGTAGCCTAACTCCAGCAATCCACAATCTAGTGTATATTTTTAGGCAATTAACATGCAAAATTACAAAAAAAAAATTTTCAAGAAATTGCGTACTACTTAACCTATGTTTAACTTTCACTGTACAGAATAATGTATGTGCAGAAGGCACATCTGCCCTCCCTTTAGGATTCTTAAGAATTATAGGACATTGAATGTTTTTTGTAGAAAACGATTACAAACACAAATCATTGTTCCAAGCAGTACGTTTTTTTTTCGTAAATGTGTGAATGGAAGTAGCTAATAACTCTAATAAAATGCTTAATTTTGCTAATGTTGACTGTCCTTGACAACGTCGAGAGCTATTAGGAGGAAAGGGGGGTAGGTAAGGAAATTTAATCATCTGTGATTTCAAACACAATGACCATCCCTGAAGCAATTTTATTTTCTTTTATTACTAGATTCATCTGGTCTTAAAATAATGCAATATTCCCGCAAAATAATTGAAAATCAGGAAATAAAAAAGAATATCCTATACCGTACAGGTTAATTGATAATAATCAATAACATTCTTATTGTGGAATTTCTAAGGTTTCAGTGGAGAATGATTCAGTGCCCTGGCAGAATAACTTAGATATTGTGCTTAAGTCTGATTGTGAATTTAGATAATATATTTTCTCATAAAGTCACATTTAGTTCTTTGGGCATCTGTCTCCACACCGTGGAGTCATACGCATTTACAAAGGAGGCGAACCTTTTGTTGGCTGATCTGCACTGTAACCTCCAAAAGGTGGCGTAAGAGTAGGTGAAATGAGGACGCACAGAGTCGCTCAAACCTCTGACGAGACATTATAACTTATTGCCTGCAACAAACAATCATCTCTCAATAAAGAACGTTTCCATCTGACCTTGTTGTCGCTTTTAATTAGCTCAAGCTTTGTGTAATCAACCGGGCGGATCCCAGTCACAGGTCATTTCAACAAAATGATTTCTGGCAAAGGTCTGAGCAAACTGAAAAATAATCACACTTTCAAAACTTCTCATGGGCTTTGGAGGAGAAGGGAAAGGACATTTCGACAGAAGTGGATTTATTTTAAATCACAGAATTGAACTCCGACACCACTTACTTTAAGACATCGTTTTAATGATCACTGGTGATAAATTAACTAATTACATATGCAAAATGTTAGCACGGAGAAAGCTTTTGTTTTGCATGTATTTGTTAAAATGTCCACAAACACAAATCAGACTGAAACAAGAATCTTCCTGCTGTTTGTGTGTTTATCGAGTTTGGGCGATTTCTTACAGAAATGTCTGTAAGAAAACTGTCGCCACAATTAAATCAAAAAGAAATGATTTTATCTTTTCAACTCGCAAACTGGTCGCAAAGAGGAGGTGACCAACACGCGCATACATGCACGCACGCGCACGCATCGACTACATGAGAAGAAAAGCTAAAAACTGTGAAGAAGGGAGGAAAAACTAAATACATCTTATAGTTGAATAAATAATTCTCACAAAGAAAGTGACACAGACAGACGGTGACAGATAAATACTAAGGGAGGGAGAGAGAGAGAGAGAGGCAGAGAGAGGGAGAGGGAGAGGAGGGCTTACCCCGCCTCTTTAACCGACTTGAATAAATAATTCTCACAAAGAAAGTGACACAGACAGACGGTGACAGATAAATACTAAGGGAGGGAGAGAGAGAGAGAGAGAGGCAGAGAGAGGGAGAGGGAGAGGAGGGCTTACCCTGCCTCTTTACCCGACACTGCCCCGCACTCTCACTTAACCTCCGCATAGTGCCGGAAAGGAAATAACTTAAAATACTTTTTTAAAATCCCCCGAACTACAGCTCACTGGACTCGGTGTCACTTCTGACAACGACGGCGAAGTGTTTTTTTACTTTCTGATCGTCGGCGGAGCGCAAACAGAGGAGTTACCAAAGTCCCAGACACGCTCCAGCGATGGTGACTTTACGCACGGGATTTGAAGGCGTTTTGAACTGACTTCTCTTGACTGGTCTCAGAGCTGAAACTCTGCTATCATCACATCGAACAGGTTGCAAGTTTGCAAGAAACACACGGCGAGGTGCCGAATACGTGGATCCAGGTAAGAGAACCCCTGTTGCACCAGTGAGGACAGCACTGGGACCCTCACAGTCCGCGTCCTCTGGGATAGTTGTTTTGAAAGTAGGTGCGCAGTCCGGTCATCTCCGCTTGCAAGCGTGGAATCGATTTTATAGGAAAGTTATGTACACAAGTGTTACACAAACAAACAACAAAAACTTCAAGGAAATATTCTCTGATTTACTGACGTTTTAACTGACTTAGAAAGAGACCAACTCACAAAAACTAATTAAAGTAAATATAAAATAACCACCAGCTTACATTACTTTATTAGTAAATATTATCGTTGTTATTCGTGTACATACAAAAAGACAGAGGGTTTTACTTCAAACTGGATGGTATAGTTATAAAAGCTTTGGAAAAAGTTGTGATTGTGCACCACTTTCACCCAGATAAACTCACCTTAGAGCTGGGTGCTAAAAAACAAAGTTCCAACATTAGATCTGTGATGATACGAATCAGAAAAATGTGAATAAGGTTCCGTATTACAATGTCATTTCCCCAGTTTAGGTTCGTAGGTTACCTACTCCAGATCAAAGTTTTTAAGACACCAAAAATTAAAGTATATGCTGCAGCAGAGACCAAACGTGAGTATAACTGGGCTCATCCTCCGCTACATCCCTGTCATGCACTATTAACAGAAATAGTTCAGTCCTGTAGCACTATGCTCAGGACCCATTAACAGGCTATGAATCAGTCTCTGTAGCACCCCCAGCCCAAAAGAGCTTTGCATAAAATCGATAGTAGCACGTTTGAGGAATTTATTTTCAAGAGATCGTCCCATTCAGAAACACCGGATCACTAACTGCGTAGAGAGATTCTCAGTAGTTTCCTTTTCGGCCACACAGCGGTATCCTTCTGTCCATATCCTCAGACCTCTGTGGTCCACGTGCGCGTCCCCGGCTCCACTGCACCTCCAGAGACGCACATTTCAGCCCGCAGCGAATCAGCGGTGCCCAGCGTTTCGCGGACATGCACTGGGATACAATAGAGAGAAATTAACTGCAGAGGGGAGGAAAGCAGGGGGAAGAGTGGCGTCTGTAGAGCCCAAGTTAACTTTCGCCCCCGAGCTCACGGCGACTGACCCTAGAAGAATGCATGATTCACAAATTAAAATAGACTCGGAGCCCTAACACGGATCCACTGGGAGACAATACCGAGGGACACATGGATGTGTCTTAGCACGGCGGGAGAGCTGAGAAATTAGTCTGTAAGTTTCTATTTGCTCTCGTACATGATTTTCAGTGCGACCGTATCTGAATTTGTGTTAATTTATCTGTGGTCCGTGCGTCTCAACTTTGTCGGGGGAGATAAAAGGTGTCAGTTTCACTTGTCAGTTGTGCATCCTAGGAGATTAACAGAACTTATTATGGATGAGGTTAATTACGGGTGTGTGAACTTGACTCATGCATGCAGGGACAGTTTGCTATCCCTAGTGAGGAGCGTGCACCTCGGACAATCAGCGGGGTCGGTATCCTGTGCGAAAGTTTGTCTTGAGTTCACGGTGATGATGTGACAGGGGTACAGGAGGACAAGGCGCACGACAACGGCCTGGAAAAGACTGATAGAGTCACTTCAGGGTGTTCCCCATATTTAGAGCTACACTCCACATCCAAGATAAGGCGCTGCTCCTCTGCAGATAAGGAGCTCTCAGAGAAACAGTGCGACAGAGAGAGATCACACACGCAGGACAAAATGAATATGAAACCCGCTAAAGTGGAAACACAAAGACATCTTACCCATTGGTCTTTTTTGGCGTTTCAGCATCAACTTTTAACCGTTTTACGCATCCACATTTTTATTTGCACATCTAATCACTCCTCTATTAGACTTATAATTGCCAGGCTTGACAGATCCCCCACTTGCCTGTTTGGACCTGTCCACACCGGCCTGCGCAGTAAATCACTATTTCCAACAAGTTGTTTAATTGTCTGGACTCTGGCAGAACAATTTATAGAGCGCCAGCCCCCGCTCTTGTACGTGAGAGTGTCTGTCTGAAAAACAATCCGAGCAGGGGGCCGCTGAAGTTGATCTCCTATGGCATTTTGTTTTGAGCAGGTGCTGAGGGTTGAGGTTCCCTCATAAGGTAAAGTGGCATTAGAGTGTCCTATTGGCAGACTTATATATAGGCTGCCAAATCAGCACATTGTCCTGGACTGCATGGCTGCGCTCTCTCCGCTATCTGAGGGAGACCTGCAGCCTTTTTCTTTTTTCTTTCTTCTGTGGGGATCAGCGCTGACAACAGACGGAGCAGCCTGAATGAGGCGGCCGGTCACTGTGTGGTCCATCAGGACTCTGTCAGCAGCATGAAATCACTGTTAGGAACCGTGCGTAAAATGCCCTGCACATGCGAAGCGAAATCGAATTTAACGCTACTTGTGATACAATATAAATTAAAATACAAGTTCAATTTGTTTTATCCGTGTAAACAGCTTAGACTGAATTATGTATATTTAAATTCAACAGCTTAATCTCCTCAGCTAAAAATATAATGTACTTTCATTCCATGGTTGCAGCCTAATAGTTTTATTCAATTATAAGATTTTTTTAATTTGATATAGGCAATTATATTTTCTGATTACATCTCTCACACATACACAATGTGCTTGTTCATTTCAGTGTCAACACACATTTAGCTGTTAGTCAAATCACTAAAAACATTTAAATTAAATTAAACTGAGAAAATTTCCACTTCTTTTTCTTTGCCTTCAACAGTACACAGTGAAAATGTGCCTTCTGGTGTTAATGTAACACAATGCCAACCTCGGGATCTATTTCTCATACTTAGAAACTGAGCCATTGCTCACTTATTATTCTAACATGCCACATATATTTCTTATAGTCTGAGAGGCCTTTTACTCTGGTGTGGTGCAGAGGGACTGTTTAGTGGCAGAAAGAGGCAGTTGGGAAGATGAAAGATGTGACAGGTGACAATGACAGCGAGAGACTGATTAGAGGAGGAGATGATCTTAATTTTGAGACTGAGTTCTTATTTATCAGACTTCCACAACAGCCTGATATGCAAAAGAAACAATTTAATTTCAGTTTAAAAACACATCCTAGTGTTTAATTTATTTAGTCTGTCTACTGATACCTGTATTGCATCTGACCACGGTGCTGTAGACTTAAGTGGCTCCGCATGTTGTTTTTTTGTGAAGATGTCATTCACCGTTAACAGAAAACCATCACACTACCATTTTAAGCCTGTGGCCGATCTGGAGAGTCCTAATTATTTGTTGTCAGTCTCTTTGAAAAAGGCACCAGCCCCCAAATTGGACATGTGTTGTACAAACACAAATTAAACATTTAGTATTTCTCCCTGGGTCCTAAGTGCATGTTAGTCAGCCTATACTTATCTCTGGCCCAACGGCACACCCAAATTGCAGTGTTGCTACTGAAAAAGAAAGGTTGAGCCCCCAGAGAATGAGCACTTGAATCTCACTGGCAGATGCCCATAAGTTTCTCAACCACAATGCAAGCTTAGGTGTGTGTATATACATTATTTGTGAGTGCTTGTGTTCACAGTATGTGTTTAGAGACTTTTTATCGCTGATGTTTTTGTGATTGTTAACAAAAGCAAAGTTCCTCTGTGTGTGACTAAATGAATTAATGTGCATGTTGATATTTTATCCGGTGTGCCTTTGCATGTCTAAGTGCACAGTAGGTGTGTGTGTGTGTGCATGAGCCTATCTGTTTGCATGTACACATGCTTGTCCTTGTGCACAGCTAGGTGTGTATAATATAAAAGCATGTTTTTCTGTATTTTGTTGTGTGTTCTTGACTCGTGCATTTATCCTGGGCACCCTCTGAGCCTGCATGTGTTCTTGACTCTAAGTGTATATGTGAGTGCGTGCACCCCGCTGGGTGGGCGCGCTGCTCTGTGCAGCCTTCCTCTGTTCTCCACCACCACATAACCTTGGAAACAGCTTCTTCATTTTTCTCCAGAGTGGAGAATAATGAGGCGCTGTGTTCATTCTCCTCTTCACTCTCTTTGAATGGTCTGGGTAAACTTTCCTTTCTGCTGCTGATTCTCCACCACCTGCTCCCCACCATCCAATTACAAAGCTCAGAAAGACAGCTCACCTGACACACCAGCTCCTGATGGCATCAGCATCTCCTTCCAAATAAACACACACTCTCTCCTCCTCATTTCACATCTTTACATACAGTATCAAGGCAGTGTTTGATCCTGTGTGTCTTCATCATGTTCAGCTCAAGTTCATTCTCAGCTCATTTCTTTCTCAGACTTTTCTTTCTTTATGCATCAGGGTGTGTCTCATCTTCTTCTAATGACTGCAACATTAACAATGGCTGTTATGTATGTGCAAAGGATTGAGTAAGCTTTACCCATGCATAGTTTACACAAATGACTCCTGTAGGATTAATAGTCATTAACCTGGTGACCCGCCTTGAATCCATATCAAACTTAGACCACTTGTTTTTTTTTCTCATTCTATAGAATATCTTGGATAAATGTAATCCATAATGTTGCTTCTTTCCTTGTTTTCTTGTTAGTTTTGTGATTTGTGAACAACTCGTGATATTGTTCTCTCTCCTCTTTTCAAGCGGAAAAACTCTCCAACACACCCTCCACAGCGGAGAGCTGCTGTTTCACTGGGGTTGTTCAGAGTCGCTGTGGGAAATTTAGGAACTCTAATTAATAAAATAATTCCAGAAATGTGTTAAATAGCTCGTGTTATATGCACATACATGGTACTGCAGGTTGGAATCCTGTTTTAATGGTGAAGTGCTTTTGGGAGTCCAGGTCAGGGTTCATTCACAGATATGAGAGGAAACAGCCCATGTGAGTCAGAAGAAAAACTAAATGATCAGCAACAAAACCATTTATTCTTCATTTTTCTACACTGAGTCAACTACACCGATCTGTCCCAGTGCAGTTTTCTTTATGGTATAAATCTTCTTCGCTCTATTGGCTAATAGTGGAATGACAAGTGCAGATGCTGTGTGAAACTGAAGCCAGTT